TCTTTCCAAATATTAATAGTATGTTCTTTAATTTGATTGTCCCGTATTGAAGCAAGAATGCTTTAAAATTTTTGTAATACTAGACTTCATTGGTAAATCTGCCTTCCGAAAGACTGAGCTTTGTTAGTTTAATTTTTAAGTTACATATGTAGTAAAAACCTAATCATTTGCTATTTTGTATGGTTTGTTTCTAGATACTAGATATCTCAAGTATCAAGATAGTTGATTTGCAATATTTGTTAACTGGTATATATTATTTAAACATTAATTCATTTTATTACACTTAAGGAGTTGAATGGTTGTCTTTAATCTTTTTCTGGTGTTTATTTGATGTCAAATGTACATTGTACATTTGACCTAAGAATGACTGAGTTGAAAGCATAATTTTTATATTTTGACTATTTTGGTTTCATATAGGAAGTATGGATTTTTAAAGTCTAGAATTTGATTAGGAAACTTGTCTTTTTTTTTTTGGTATAATCTTTCCAGAAGATCCAGTTAGATTTTTCATATGTAAAGTTCTAATAGACCTGTAGCTATGCCTAGTTTCTAACGTTTTTGGAGACCTTTAGGTGTAAATGTGTATTTTACAGTAGATCTAAGAGAGGTGCAAGAAGGGAGCTAAAAATCACCAGAAATATGCAGTGGTTGTAAAAAGATGTTAAGTAGGTGAGTGCTTTTTAGCTTGGAGATGAGATAACTGAGAAGAGAAATGAGAGATGTATAAAATGATGAATGATGTGAGAAGTGTGAAAAGGGATTTCTTGCAGTGAATAAATAGTAGGAAATAAGTCAGACTTCCCTGCCAGTCTGACATTAAAAGGAAGGATTTTTGCTTAACACATAATAAAGTTGTGGAGTTCTTTGCCATGAGATGTTGTGAATGTCACAAATGTGAATGGGTTCAAACACCATTAGACAAGTTCAGGAAAGATGGGTCTCTTAGTGACCATTAAATTCAGTAGTGCAGATACTATTCTGTGTCTAAGGAATCTTTAAATTTTAGGTTACCAGAAATCAAATAAGTCACTTCATACTTGACCTATTCTTCCCATTAGTATTTGGTATTCTAGTAAGAATTCTCTTTTTTTTTTTTTTTTTTTTTTTTTTTTTTTTTTTTCAATTTTTCCTTCATGTCAATGTGTTCTAACTTTCAAGGGTCTCAGATGAGGGGAAAAAAAGAAAGACTACCATTAATGAAAATCTTAAACTGTAAAGACTGTATCTTAAACTGTATAGAATGAAGACAGTTTCACTGGAATCAGAAGAAAGTAACCTTTCTTGTCAGACCTTACTCAGAACTCACGGTTGACATTTTCAGATTAAAAAAAAAAATCCCTCAAAATGAATATATCACATCTGTTGTTAAATGCAGATGTAATTTAAGACCTTTATGTTTTTGAAAACTTTTGGAGCCTTGCATATCTGCCATGTTTATTGATGGAACACTTGACAGAGATACCAAAAATACTTTTATAGGAGACTTTTAAAATTTTACTTCTTGATTTCTGATTTTTTTTTCTGTTTTTCTCATTTTCTGCTGTGTTTTCAGTCTGTTGGTGGGCAGTGTCATGTCACTGTCACTTGGGTTTAGGTGATGTGGCCTGGCTGTTGGAAATGAGAACTCTCTAAGGTGCAGCTGCTCTTGACTTGGATGATCCTGCTGCTGAAAGTGAAAAGACACCATAATTGGTTGAAAAAAAAAAAAAAAAAAAACCCTGTATATTTATATAGAACTGTAATGCTTTTCTTACTTCAGTACTTGTTGCTAACTTCATGTCCGTTTGGGATAGTCCTGCGTTGATTGAAATCCTAAAATCAATCATCTACTTATGACCACAATAGTCTTTGTTTTCTGCCTCTTGCTCATGTTATACCCTGCTGAGTATAGAATAAGTAGCTCTGCAAGAAGGAGCCAGAGAGGAGGGCTCCCAGATTTTTTCAAACACTTTGTATTTGAAAGGAGAACGCTTTGAGGAAAGAGAAGAATATAAAGAATGAAAATGTAATATCAGTTAAATTCCAGCATTCAAACATGAAATATCATTGTTTATGTAACTACTTCCTGCATTTTTGATTAGTATCCATATAGGTTTACTATACAATAGGGCTGAGTATCACTTGCATATTAATAAGGCATGTATATTGAAAACAATGCTGGGAAACACTCCAGAAAGCCACCGTGTTGCACTCGGTACCTATTCTCACTGCTATCCCTATGGATCCTGTATCTTCCAATTCCTTAGAAATTCTGTATAATTGATTTCATTTGACTTCAGGCATGATAATCATTGTAAATAATAGTGAGCAATATTTTTCTTCTTTCTCATGATATATTTTTCTTTTAATAGAAGAATTACGGAAACTGAGTTGGTCTGGAATTCCTAAACAAGTTCGTCCGATTGCGTGGAAGCTTCTTTCGGTAAGTGGGCTGTTTTTTTTTTTTTTTTTTTTTTTTTTTTTTTTTGGCATGTAGCAGTAATAGCTTTTTAGTCACTGCAGATGATTTTCCTTGACTTGTAACTCATCAGCTATACTTCAAAACATTTTGTTTTGTTCTTGAACTCTAATGAAAGTTTGATTCTTTGCTCAATTTCAAGCTTAATTTATCAAATCTTAAGTAGGGGAATGAGAGGTAAGTAAATCATGTCAGTTACGTATCTTTGTTTTTCATCCTGGCTTTCTGTGAAGGCAAGGCTTTTATGATAACGATGGCCTGTTTCAATAAGATTTGCCAGTGTGGTGGAGTGTTCAAAGATAGGTACATTCCTACAGGTTTCTTGAAAATAGACAGACAGCAGAGGAAGAAGAAAAATCTCAGTGTCCCAGCAAAGACTTCATTCTAACTACTCATTTAAGCAACTGCCAGGGACTCATCATAGAAAAGATAAATACTATATTGAAGAAAAGCTATGATAGAAGCTTGTGTTTCTTTGGACTGTTTTTCTACAGCAGTTCAAGATGAACAAATCTGAACTGCCATGATTCTAACCTTTACCTTGTGACATTGGTTCAGCTGCTGTCATTTCAGGGAGATTCAAGCTGATAAAAAAAGTGATTAAGTTCTTAATAGAGTGAGTTTTTGTTTGCCTTAGCTCTCTGAACCTTAGCCAGAGGTAGGAGGAGGTTGGAACTGTAATAGCTCTGAAATAGATTGATTGAAGTATCATAGAACAGTGCACTAAGATATTTAAGTCAAGCAATCATGAAGCAGAAATTTGTGGGAATTGAGGCTTTGCTGGGTTGGTGTCAGAGCTGCATTTTTTTCTCAATATTTGCCTTATATTTCAATAATTTATATTTAATATCTTTTGCAAAAATAGAGTGTATGCCTGATAGGAGTATTTTATATGTCACTTTTTGAACTTGTCATAGCAAATGGGTTGTGAGTTTTAGCTGTTGTTTGTCTCTACATGGTTGGGAGAAAAAGTTGTGAAGATGTTTTTATCAAAAAGAAGCAAATATCTTATGCAGCCTGCTCTCTAGAGCTTGCAGAAGACACTTTATCAGCAAATCTTCACCCATTTAAGAACTACTTAAAATTCTGAGTTATACACACAACAGTTTAGTACTATTGAATTTTTCAGAGTGTAGGCTTAAATAGCTTTCCTTTTTTTAGAATAATTCAACAGGGAATGCAAAGTACTTCAGACTGAGTCTGATTTCCAGTGACTGAAAGAGTCTCTCTTGCTAATGAATTCCAGTAAATTTGCAGCTTAGTTCCTTCTAATACAAATGCAGGTGCAGCTTCTTAATGGTGAATATTAAAATATTCTGTTGCAGTGGAAATTAAAAAATGGAAATTAAATCTGTTTTCAGATTTGTGTGAGATTTCCTTTTTGTTTTGTTTTTGAGCAGCTTCTTTTTTTTTTTTTTTTTTTTTGAAAGTTGCTGATCTCTTATCTACAAGCATTGTAGTCAGGATTTTCCTGTATATTTCCTACAGTGATTTCTCATCTACTAAGTGGTCCTCAGTGAATATGTTTTGGAAACCTGAAGACTAGTCACTTAGTAACCATCAGTTTTCTGTGCTGTAAGGCAGGAGCTTATTTGATATTCTTTCAATATTGGTGGAAGAACTGGTGCTCTTACCATTTGTGGATTAAAAAAATAAGTCTCTGATTATTAGGTTTTACCCTAGTAGTTTATGGTTACGTAAGGTGGTTAAGCATGTGCTTCCTGCTAATAATGTACCTGATAGTATGGGTGGTGTTGTAACTTACAGTGTTACAAGCTGCAGTGGGAGCTGTAGATGAAATAAATGAACAAAAGCAAAGTAGCTTTAGTTAAACATAATTGGGGAAAAAAAAAACCCTATCATACTACCTAAAGCATAGTTTAGAGCTAAGTTGAGAGGAGCTATTTGTCTTGGAGTTGCTCAGAAGTCTCAAAAGTCCAAGCTGTGATTTATTTGGAGGATTGAGCATGATTGAGATATTGGAGACAAAATGTGATTGACTGATTTGTTACATCAGTATTGAAGATGAAATTTCTAAAATGTGATTTTAAAAATGATCAATTAAAATATTTATTACATATTAAGAAGTTTAATAGCATTAACATATGTATTTGATCAAACAGCTTTTCCACAGTGGAAAATGTTTGAAAATCAATTGCTGCTATTATCCTGTCTACTTGTAACACTGAAACAATAATTTATAAAATTTATTTATAAAGCAAGTGATTTATTCTTAAAACACAACAAAGCTAGAAATTTTGTACCTAAAAAAAAAAAAGCAGAACTATTCAGGTTTACTTCTCTTTTCAATAGCAAAGCTACATACATTGTTGCCAAAACCTTTGAAAGGAAATTAATGAATAAACGAATTTTACTCTCCACAGATTCGTGCCCTGATGATATGTTGCAAGCCCTTTCAACTTTTCAAAATAAAATCTAATTTATAAAATGAACAGGAAACAAGACATGTCCAACTGAGAGATTACTTCAATCTCTCAAACTGAATAATAGCAAAAAGACTCTTGCTGAGGAAAAAGTCGGTATCCTTGGGACAATCACATCGGATCTCACAAATGAGTTCTTTTTCTAATGGAACTAACATACCCTACAGGAAAAAAATCTAATGATTGTGAATAATTAGGGGGCAGAATTAAATATTTAAGTTGATACTAAGTACTGGGACGGGATATTAAATGTCACACTGTCTTGAGAGAAAGGTTCTTAACAGTGAGGGTGACAGAGCCCTGGAACAGGCTGCCCAGAGAGGCTGTGGAGTCTCCTCCTCTGGAGATCTTCAAAACCCTCCTGGATGCCACCCTGTGCCACGTGCTCTAGGTGACCCTGCTGGAGCAGGGGGGTTGGACTGGATGATCTCTAGAGGTCCCTTCCAACCTTAAGCGTTCTATGATCCAATTTAAGACACCTGAAACCACATGCAAATGAGTACATCTTCAAAGAGATGATCTTACCCAAACAAAGTATCTGATTTGTAATTTGGTTTGTACTCGTTTTGATGGTTTCTTAGAATATGGAGGAAATTAAAATGACAGTTTTTAATGATTTTACTACAGACATCCTTAGAAAAAGGCAGTTGATGTAAACAGAATAGATTACTATTGTAGTTCTCCAAATGTTGAGCGAAGTGGAAGTTTAAAAAAAAAAAAAAAAAAGTGGGAGATAATGTTGGATTGTCGTGGAAACAACAATCCCACATGGAACTAGTGTATTCTTAGAATGTTTAATTTTATTGCACCAACTAACAGTTCCGGCATTAGACTAACTCCGTCTTCCCCTTCAAAAAGCCAGAGTACTGCTTCACTTCTCATAAAATGAAGCAGTTAACAGTTTTCGCCACTCTTTGTGCGTGCAGTGTGTTTAGGACTGAACAAACAAGTTGCTTTCATAGGAAAATGCAGAGCTTATTATTTGCTTGCATGGGCTATGGCTCTTTGTGTAAAGGAAAATATGTACTGTACTTCTAGTATCAAAATTGGTGATTTTATGAGGATTCTTCCATTTTTTTTCCCTTTTTTTAAGGATACCCCCCCCCCCCCCAGTTACATTATTTCCCATTAGTGTGACACTAGCCAGTTTTGTGGAAGGAAAGCTGAATGGTGAATAATGTGAATCTTAAATTTTTAGATTGTTTTCTGGCCAGATTTGATTTTAAAGCCACCTATGTTTAGGCTATTTATTCTAAGTAATTTCTCAAGCCCTTCCTATATGTAAAATATGGATCTTTTTATTTTTGTGATGTTATGGAGTATTGATGTTGATTGAAATCAGTCTGCTAGTGAGAAAGCATTAGGTGTTTCTGGATATTTAGGGAACTACTGTAGCCAGAGTTTAATACTGTTTAAACGGTGATCATGGTTTTTAGTAGATTCCTCATATGTAATCCTTCATGTAATATCTGGACATCTAGTAGCATTCATGATGCTTACTTTCATAAAATGTTAAAATGAAACTCGAATTTGTTGGGGAGTAGAAGAGGGAGATCCCAGAGATAGGGTTCGTATTAGACATAGGAAGAAAATGGGAATGGATTTTTGCAGAACAGGATTTGGTGTTATGTGTGGATATGAATCCCGTAAAGAATAAGCAAGGTGCCTTTTGTACTTTTTGTACTTAGAGAACAATGCATAACCCTGTTTATCTGAAGTTTGATTTCCTTACGCCTTCTATACCTGGTGGAAAATATAATATAATTTGCACTTGAGAAGTAATTAAAAGGAATTATAGCTACTACTACATTTAAGCTCTGTCACTGATTCTTTTGAGACCTTTCTATGATGAACTCTGTAATAATTCATTGAGGTGAAATGAAAGCTTATTTTTTATTTTTTTTTCTCTCCTTTGACAGTGAAATGGAATAACTAGAATCTTTTGATTTTTTTTTTTGAGGAAATTCTTCATTCCATTATGTTTTTAACCATAACTTAAACATAAGTACGTATTCTAATGTATATCATTCCTACTTGAAGGCAACTAAATTTTTTGTTTAAAATAGACAGAAATGCCTTAAAGAAGAGCCATAGGGGACAGTAGAATTAATGAACTCTTTTATACTGTCATAGTTTCTTGTACTTATTTTGATTATTTTTTGGGAGGGGGGAAGCCAGGGGAAAGGCAAACATCATAGCATTTTTGATCATAAATTTCTTTTTTAAAGTGAAAAAGCAAGCAAATTAAAACATTTTCTTTAAAAACTGTTGATTTTTAGTAAGGTATTGCTATCTGAATTTTGTATTCAGATTGAATGATAGCTGATTTGTTAAGGGATTGCTGAGTTCCATGTAGGACTGTATGGTACTGAATCAGTTCATTAGCTTTCCTGTCCCATATACTGACTGATAACTGTGCTTCTTGTAAGGTAGAGTAATATCTGCTTTTATTTGGTTGTTTTTCAGGGTTATCTTCCTGCAAATGTAGACCGAAGAGAAAGCACTTTACAAAGGAAACGGAAAGAATATTTTGCATTTGTTGAACAGTACTATGATTCCAGAAATGATGAAAGTCACCAGGATACTTATAGACAGGTAAGACACCTAATAAAAAGCTACATTAAATGTGTTAAAGAACTTCAACCCTGCCCGTCTCTCTGCTCTCCTTTCCTCCTCCTCCCATCCCTCCCCCCCAACAAAAAAAGAGAGAAAAGGTTAGAAAAAGTGGAGGACTATCTTCTTAAAGCTTCATCTTTAGTGTTACAGGGTCAATGGAAAATTGTTTTACATGCAGCTAGTAATACATTTTTAGATGTTACCTTGAAGTAATGGAGGAACCTTGCCAGAAGGAGTATCATTTGTAAACCCTCAAAATGTGATACAAGCATCTTTCTGTGAAAGAAAATTGTATTTTTTTTATTTTTATTTCGTTGTGGATTAATGGTTTTGAGATTTGGCCTTATGTTTCGAACTAATATAAATCAATATTATTCCTAAAGCAAGAATACAATAGGATTGTAACCATCAACCTAAAAGACAACAGTGCTTAAACTGTTTATTTAAAAGCTGTGTTGTGCTTCTTTTGACAGTATCTTCTTTCTGTTTGGTTAGATTCATATAGATATCCCACGCATGAGTCCTGAAGTTTTAAGACTTCAGCCCAAAGTAACAGAGGTAAGAATAATATGATTTCTTTAGATTGCTCACCTTAATAATGAGCTTGATATCACAATCTTGATTACTAATTAATTTGACAACAGTCACCAATTTCAATTGAGAACCAGTCTAAAAAAGACCAGAAAATGAGAAAATAGGGGTCCCATCACTTTGCTGTTCAAAGTAATTGCAAAATGTTTAGGAAATGGGGTTCAAATGTGAAGTGATTCACCTACTATGACAGGTTACTGGGGTCATTCAAAGTTAAGATTGACTGTGATTAGTCACAGGAAGAGTTCATGAAACTCAGGGACAGGGTGACAATTTTGGAAGAAATTCGGTGTGAATAGGGGTGGAGTGATATGAATAACAAAGGAAAGAAAACTTTGAACTGATACAGGAATAGGCACTGCTGCATTAGCTGGTATTGTCCAGAAGAGAGCTCTTGAGCAGATAATACTGTCCTGCTTGGTAGCAATTGGAAAACAAACAATATTAAAATGATTAACTTGCAATGGAGAGCAAATCAGAAAACACAGATATGCTACTTTACAAATCTGCATTTTGCATGCTGTGTACTGTTGTGGATTCTCCATGTCCAAGGACAAAGTAGAATTATAAAGAGAAGGAGAGGAGTGGCCTGGCTTGGATTCAAGGAACAATTAAAATTTTTGATATAAAAACAAAAAAAATCAAAAAATTCTAAAGAAAGTTTTTGAAGAACGTGTTACTTAATAAAAGAATGAGATGTCCTCCACTTCTGTGACTTGAGTCCATCCTCCTTTGGGTAATGTAAGTATCCTGATGTCAGATAGAAATGGAAACTTGTAGGAGATGAGACTAGTTTTATTTTCGTTTGCCTGTGCATGCATGAAGATGTTTTTATATGACTGATTGCTCTTAGGAGATAATATTTTTATTAAACTTATGGAAAAAGTAGCAAGTGCTTTAGATGTAGATTTGAGCATAGATAGTAGGAATACAGCAGTTATGTTTAACAGGGATATTTAATAACACACTTAGTCTATCAGTTGTGTTAAAGAATGATTATAGTCCATTTTTGGTTGATTGATTGAAGGCTAAGGGAAATTATATGTGAATTTTGAAAATATTTTAATGCAAAAAAGAGTAATTCTGGCACTATTTTTATTAGCAGTCACAGTCAAGAGGGGATTTTTATGGCTGAGTTGTACCTGGAAATAGGCTGGTTTAATGAGACTGCTGACAGCTAACTTCATTAGGAGACACAGAATAAAACATTATTCATACTATTGCCTAGGAGTAATTAAAATAAACAGGAAATACTATTTGTTGGTAGCTATGTAGGTAAATTACTGTGAAGTAAAGTTCTGTATGTCAATAGCCATTCAATATGTAATATTAGTCAGTAAAGATTGAGTCTAGAATGCAATTGCAGTTCATTTTATAAGATCATTAAATGCATGGAATTATTCAGTTTTTTTTTTCCTTTTATTGTCTTTGGCAGGTAACAACATTGCTTAGGTAGCATGTTTATTTAAATGTGGGTTATATAGGTCTTATTTGCATTTTTTTAATAAAACCAGAGTTGTTTTTATTTCAAGTCATTTGTTAAGGTTGCCCAGGCATTTCTAGCATCTAAATGCTTATGTGTATCTTAAAAGAAGTGTATATGTGCTTCACATATATGGCATCATGTATTTGAAATCCCACTTTCTAGAAACTGATAATTCTTGCAATATCGTTAAATTAGTAAAGTCTGAAGATGATTCAGTTTCATGTATAGAGCTTATTAAATTCATTTATTGGGAGTAACATACAGAGTGATATCCCCGCTTCACTGAGTTTGCTCATGTTTTCTTAGCTTGAAAGAAAAGCTTGAAAGCTCTTGTTTACTTGAGTACTCGGTAAAATGAGCCAAATATTAGCTTTGTCTTTTTACATGGCAGAATTTACAGAACAAGTAATGTAGGTGTTTCCAGGAGTTGTGATCTTTTTCTCAATTCCTAAAAAGAGATGGGGAAGGAGGAAAGTAGAGAATGAGTGGTTTGGGGTGGATAATCCTCAAGTTCCACAGCAAGTAGGTAGCTGTGGTATAAGTACATGGATCTCTTCAGGTGGAATCAAGGCACACTGCAACTACAGTGTTTCTGCTGTGTCCTTTAAAATAGGAAAAATGAAACAAAAAAAACCCCAAAAAACTCCACTCAATCCCCTATCCATCTCCTATCCTATCAGTCTTGCCAACTACATCTACCTCTTTTCTTCTCTTGGTGAGTTGATAGAAAGTAAAAAGAGGAGAAAACCCGAAGGAGTAAGAGGTGACAGCAGGGGGCTGGACCTGCTATCTCCTTCCAAGCTCAACTATTCTGTGCTTCTGTGCTAAAAGAGGAAAGTAGAACTGTATTTTACTAACATCCTGTGAGTTGGGAATGGGCATACTCGAGGTGCAGGAGAATGTGAAAAGGATATATAGCAGTAGCCAGAGGAATAGTGTGAAATAAAGGAATTGCTTAAGTTAGGAAGATGTGATAGAGATATAATTTATTTCTTAATGATCCATGAGTGCCCTGCACTTTAAAGTATCATAGTACCCTCATATGTTATGATGATGTTATTAAAACCCCATTAATTACTTGATCAGAAGGTTGGAGTACAGTGTGACGCCTGTATCTGTTTCTCCCTTTCCTCTTTCTCTGAGCTTGCTGGGAAGCCAAGATATGATCTTGTCTCATAGCATCTTATGATGAAGATCTTATGCCAGAAGAATCATAACACCCACTTTTTCTGTGCCCCTTCATCTCCCCGCTGTGGGTTTTTGAGCCCCTGCCCTAGGACAGCCTAATCCCCCCAGGATCACCGTGCTCCTCATGGCTCCACAGGGACCTTGCTCTGTTTCACTCCGGGCTGTTGCCCTTCTAAGGACGTGGACATGCTGCTGGTACCACATGAGGAAGGGTCGCTCTTCCTTTTCTAGGGACAGATGGAAATAGCTAAAGAAGATGAGAAGACTTTAGAGCAAGTCCAGGCTGGTTCAAAAGCTGGCATAGGTGGACATTGTGGCAAGTTTTGTACTTACTGTTTTTTTGGAAGTGTAGAGATTTGGAATAATAATACTGCTGCAGAATTAGTATTATGCAGGGCCACTAGAAAGCATATAGGAAGAAGTGAGGAGACAGGAGGTGATGGAACTGGAAATAAATGCTAGTTGAGAGAACAGAAAACATAGTAGGTTTTTAAATCTTAACAATATCATTTTGTTTTCAAATGTTACTTTTTCAGATGTTGCAGGACTTTTATGCCAGTTCTTAGTGGTGTCTGTCTTGGCTCCCAAAAGGCTTTCCATTAGTATTAATAAAAATATTTTCTTTTCTGGGAATTTAACTTATTATAGCTTATAATAAAGTTGTAAGCCTAGACTAAAAAAATTTAATCGGTCAAGTTGGAGTAGTCTGCCAAACAGGCATTTAACATGTATCTTTGGCTTACATGAGAGAAGTTATTTCAAGAAAACAACACCTAATTGAAAAATAAGTTAATAAGCTTTGGGGATTTTGGATTTCTCTTGAGATGACAAAACCTACAGGTATTCAAAATCCATATTTAAACTCATTAATTCATCTTTTTATGCATATGAATATAGTTCTTACTCATGAAAGTGAGTTGAATTCAAAGGAGAATAATTGATTGGTAATGACATCTCATGAGATATAGCAGTTCATATCAGAAAAGTAATTCTAGTTTTTGTTGCTAGTTTAGAAATCAAGACAGAAGCCTCTTGGGAAAGTGACCCTTTTACTGATTACTATTTGAGCACAGTGTTGAGTGCTGTATAGAAACTTAACTCGGTCTGCCTTTCAGGTATTCAGTGTTTGGTTTCTGATACACATCAGTAAATTAAACTTTATGAGAATGGGTAGGAAATTGAAAATGCTATTTCAGTGAAAATTTGTTGAATTTCTGGTTTAGAAGCATTGAAGCATTTGGGTTTATTAAATCTGGTATGCCAATTACAGACTGATATGCCACTAAAAAAAAAAAGTGACTCTTTAGAAAGTTATTTTAAATGTAGCTGTAGTGGAGCAGACACAAGCTGTGCGACAGCCTCTGTTTCAGGGCTCATCAAAACTTTGCATCTCTTGGTGTTCACCTTCTTGTTGCTACATGTGTTTTCAGCAGTCTGCCCTTGGACATGACAGAGAACCAGAAGATTAAGGAAAATTGATTTTCCTAATTATCTCTAGAGTTGGAGAAGAGATACTGATGTTTAAGACTTGTCTTTGAGGTTAAAAAGTGCAAATGTGTTCCAGCCTCAGCCAGTTCACATGCAAGACCACATGTGGTGGGACTCACACACCTGGATTGATGAATCTCATCTGTCTAGAAATTTCCTTAAAATAAATAAATAAAAGTAAATAAAGGGTGTCACAAATTTGTGTTGGGGATAAGTTCAGTGACTTCCCTGCCCTGTGTTCTTCTCATGCTATGCAGATTGTGTGGGTTGTGGCCTCAGGAGGTCTGGCAAGTCGTGTTCAAAGGGTTCACGGAGTAAAGATTTCTATGATTATCTGATACCTTATCGCTACATTTCCTGATTTTCTGATGTTTTATTAATCACACATGCTTCTGAAGTATAAAACCTCACACTGTAGCATTAGTAAAGCTTACTTACTATTTTTTTTCCCTGACACCCTATTAAAAAAATCTGGGCTATCTTAAACCCTTTCTTCTTTTATCTAGGAAGAAACAGGTACCATGTTGATAAAATATTTCTTTCAAAGAGGTAAACAGCCATGGAAAGATCATTTAAGCCTCCTCTGTCTTGAGAAAAGAGGAATTTTATCATATTGAAAAAACTCTGGTGAATAAACTGCTACTTCGTTGTAGCTAATGTAATTGAATTATATACATGGTTGCTTTAATGGCTGCTAATACTCTGAAAATACTTTCTTTTAAATAACTGAGAAACGTAATTAACGTTGGCAGTTCATTATGAAAAACAGTGTTCATTTAGGCTTCTGTATCCATATTTTTATACTACTAACTGTATATTAAATTTGTCCTTGTATACTTTTCAAGTGTCTTTTGTAAAATGTGCTCACTGCTTGATAAATTGCCTGATAGTTTCTTTAACTCTTTTTCAGATCTTTGAACGCATTTTGTTTATCTGGGCTATACGTCATCCAGCCAGCGGATATGTTCAGGGCATAAATGATCTTGTTACTCCTTTTTTTGTAGTCTTCGTTTGTGAATATATGGGTAAGATTTGTTACAACACTGATTTTTGAATTGGTAATGGCTTTGGAACAGTACCTTCTTTTTAATATAAGTAACAATTTGGATTAGCTAATCAAAGCATAATGCAATATATGAATTTTATAATACATTTTTGTAACTGTAAATCTGCGTAGCTCCCTTAAGTAGCTCTCAAAAACATACTGACAAGTAATCAGGCTTTGTGTGAACAGTGAGTAGAGTTCAGGAATATTTCAGATGTATGTTCAAAAAAACCAAAACTGTAGAAGCTGCAGACAGAATTTTATTCCTGTCAGATTTTAAAGCTGGGGAAAGATGATCTAGCTTCTGCTTTCATTTTGGTTTTTAACTGCATGTCTAGTTTACATTCCTGATGTCTTCTTCTTCTTAGGTGGTTTCATTCTCCCTTCCTTTCTGTCCTCCAAATTATCTGTTTGTATGATGAGGCAAAATTGCATATATGGAATGACCTCACGAATAAGAAAGGATTAAAAAATATACCACAATCCCAAAAACTACCACCTCTGGAACAAAGAAAGAAACAAAACAAATAAATGTTTAAAATGGGGGGAAATTAAGGAAGAGAGAACCTGATTACAACCTGAAATCAAGGTTTGAACTTCAAAGCAACAGTAACTATAATGGTTAATTTTTATAACTTTTGAAGCTCACATTACTAATATGAAACAGTCATATTTCTGTTGAGCTGTGGACTTTTTTTAATTATCTGCTTTTGCAGTCCTTTATTTGGGAAACTTTACTGCTTATGTGCTCCTCCCACATATCATATTTTATAATTTATAATTTAATGTCTCAGTCTTAATGGACATTAAGAGTAGGACTGATCTGAGGACTGAACTCTGCAAATGCAGTGTGTCCAAGTACTTTCTTAGCACTTTGTTTTAATGTGCTGTAAGTGCATGTTACATTCCTTAAGGGCAGATACTAAAAATGCTAACTAATTCTAAACCAGTTTTTCACTACTGGTGTAAAACAAGGCTGTGAGGCAAAACACGTATGATGAAAATTGTCATATACACATATTTTTGTCACATACGATATAATGAAAATTAACAATGCTCATAGGTAAACTTAGGTGGTATGTTGTCTTGCTCCTTCTGTGGGGTAATATATAGTAGGTTCTTATTTTCCCACCTTCTATATGCAAGACACCCATTGGTGACTTAATCTAGATTCATGAAAGGAGGATAGATTATCCTTCACTGACTGAAAGCCTATTCATTTACTAATATGCATGGCAACACCTCTGTTGCTCTATTCATTTCTTGTTTCATAGGAGGACATTTTATTGCTAAGCAACTAATGAGAACTACTGCTGCTTACTCCCTAATCATCTCCTAAGCAGGGTAGAGGCCCACTCCTGAGAGTACTTGCAGTTTCTGCCTTTTACTCCCTCCTTTGACAGATAATGAAAATGTTCTTAATGATCCTAGAACAGTAGGATCTCTAGTAGACTTTAGGGTTGTTAATTGAAATAAGAAGTTCAAATGAGATGTGATTAGAGAATTGATATTCCATGTTAAATAGACCATTTAATTAATATGGTAAATAAGTTTGTCTTTACCACCAACTTACATTTGGAGACTGTGGTGATTGCTGATGTATTTGTCAGCTTGTCAATATTTTCATATTGGAGAACTTAGCTATTTCCTTAATGCCCAGGGAAGAAACCTAAACTTAAAAGGTAAGAGTAAGAAATGATATTTGCCAGTGAAAATATATGAATTTCAAGAAACTGTATTCTAAAAGCTCATGCAAGAGCCAAAATGTGTAATGTATATAATGAAAATACTGGACTGAAAATATTTTCTTGAATGTAGTAGTAATTCTGACTAAATGCTAATGGACCAGTCACTTCCCACAGTGACATATAAAAACATTCAAGGTTTTGTCTTTTGTCAAAAGACAAAATATCATTTTGATTTGAATCTTTCTAGCATATTGAAGTTACGTGAGTGATGCGTTCAAGTTGCTATGAATGACAGCATGTATTTTACTTATTTCAAATGATAACCTTTAAAATTCATGGAGCGCATTGAACACCCCAAGGACTGTAATAAGATTGTAAAAGTCTTGAAAACCGAGAGCAAAACTGTGCTTAAATAATGCCGCATTGCTTGTTTCTCAGCAAAATTATTTAAACTATAAAATATATTTAATATTTACCCAGTAAAGAGATGTTCCAAAGAATTAGTTGAGACTTTGTATGTTCATAATTAACAGATGTGTGCTGACTAGATTGTCTCATGGTGTACCCTGATAATGTTTGCAGGCAACTGCTGTTTTTGGTCAATTGACTAATAAGAGGTTTTTATTTATTTATTTTTGGCTTTATGTCAACAGTGACAGAGTTCACAATCCTTGATCTAGCCTAATAATTTTGTGACATTTATGGAGATCTTTCTGCTTTTCTAAAGACATCCATCTAGAACACTAAGAGTGTCACAGAAGAATTTTTGGACATGGAGATTCTGTGTTTGGAAGGGATAACTTTCATGAGCCTAATTTCTGAAATTGACAAGAATCTTTTTTTATAAAGATTCTTGATTAAATAGAGATTCAGTTCTCAAATTGTAGTTGTTTTTATGGTTAGTCTGGATTGAGGTGCCTAATTTTAGCGTGTAGATTTGTACATTTTGAATAGTTTGAGTGACTGAATGTGGGAGTTGAACGTTTTTAGTTTTCAGTCTTCCAAGCCATGTAGGTATGATAGAAAATATAATTTGTTAGTGTATAATTAGTTCTCTATTCTCTAATAAATGCAAGAATACTGGAATATTTTGTTGTCAAAACCAAGCTGAGAAGCACAACTGAGATAAAGACTAGTTCAGAGAGGAACCTATTGGTCCTACTGGTCCCTCTTGGAATACAGTAGATTAAGCTGCTGTGTTTAAATTGGGAAAAGAAGGAAACTAAACCTATCATTTTAGTCTAAGACTTATATGTTTAAATGGTTTATAAGGTTTAAATGTTGCTGTGATATTTATTTATTTATCTCTCTCTTTTATGAGTAAAGAATAATGAAAACTTGTCTAAAACTCTCTTAAATTGAAATCTTTAAAATACTGGAAACTCAATCCCTTCTTGAAGGGGAGACTAGGAAGTGCTCCATGCTTGGGAATTTTGTGGATCTTTTACTATCAACTCAGTGTTCTCAAACTCGTACCTTGTCTGCTAGCTCTCTGTAAAGCACCCTCCCCATGTGAAACCCAGTGTTTCGCATGTTATGAAACACTTTAAATATGCATCTGTGCACGTGTATAACATGAGACAGAAATTGTTTGGTGTTGAGCTTGCTGTGAAATAACATCATTCTTCTTTTCAGTTTTTAAGTACATTTTCCCCTATTCTTATCTTGCTGATGCTCTAATATACAGACCAGTAGAAATGTTTGAGAGTGGTGTTGGAATAGCTGGGGAAAAGAAAAAGCCAAGGTCAAATTTGGATGTTGGTGGTGCCTCCTTCTGACTATGCTAACTACACTAAGTGCTTAGTGTAGACATGTGGCTGTGGCAGCACTGGTTTTGACTGCAAGTGGAAGCAGCAATGATAGTGTCCTAACAGGGTGTTTCCTAGCCCATTGTTAAAATAGATTTGGTGGAGTTAAATCATCATTTGTTATTTTATCTTTTTTTTTTTTCTTTCCTTATGGTTTGGCTTGTTTAGGAGCTTCCTGAGACTCTCTTATAGTTCTTGTTTCTTCCTATATCTTTTGTTATATGCCACCTATCTGAGTCCTCAGTTGGAACCAACCTTTCTTTTGAGCAGAAAGGACTAACTGCCCCATTTGAAAGTCACTGCCGATTCCAGACTGCTGGTTGTAGCTGTGTTGGAATTGGTGCTTGTAAGAAGCAGCATATTCCGAGCAACTGTTATTTTTTCTAGGCTTTTTTTTTGTGTAATGCAAGGAATGGCAACATTAAACATGTTCTGTCACTATCATAGAGTGCGTTATTTGTTACATAATCTATAAGCTTTATTTTATTTTGTTTTTCAAGTTCCTAACCAGGTTCGCAGAGCTTTGCAGTACAGATCCATTATGATTTTCCTTCACGTGCACCTTACATAGAAAACTTGGCAGCCACTGGCATCTGTTGCGCTAACTGGTTGCGCTAACTTGGAGTTTGCTTTGTTATGCTCCTTCCCTTTTCGCCATGGATTATGAGGGAGCTGGGATGTGGGTATGGGGTAGCAGCAGTCACTAACATCATGTTCTGGCAGGAACAGAGAGGTGAGAATGGCAAATTTCTGAGAAGTGCTGTCAGTCTGCAGGATTGATTTCTTGTGGGCCTGTCTGAGGCTATTTTGACCTAGGTTCATGAAGGACTGAAGATTAGTTGAAAATTCCTTGATTTTGAATTTGTGCAATTACATAATGAATTACTCTCATAATTGTTCAAAATCATTTACTTATCTCATGAAAGGTCATGCTGTGATTGGACCTCTACCTGTAGTAAATTTTATCCTGGACTTCTCACATTATTCAGTAGATGCTTCACATAAAATTAATTCAGGCATGTTCATCTTATTCTATATTATGAAGTAAAAACATATTCTTTCCAGCTAAAATAAATTCCATCAAAGAGATGACCACTAAAATTTAGGTCTATATTTTTGAAAGAAAAAGTGTTTTGAAGTGATTGCCTAGATTATATTTTAAAATTGTTCATTTGTTTTTATGTATGTCTCACTTGAGAAAAATGATCTATGTATACAACTTCTGAGCAATTTTCTTTATTGGTATATAATGTAGTTTTCAGGGTTCATTGGGCAAAGAATCTTATACTTTTACAGTATTTTTACAGTATTACTTTTATTCGCTTTAGCCATCCAGGAGAATCCTTGTGAAAATAGCTAGCAGTGAACTTTTTGTCAGGTGGTAATAATGCTTGCTCTAATATGCTGTTTTGTTAAGGGTCAGGTAATAAAGCAGTATCTGTTGCAGACTTTACAAAGAGAAGGTAGGAGGGTAATTTGAGTAGTCCTGAGAGGACAGCTCTTGTTTAGCCTGTAAAAGGTTAGGGAGCAAGAGGCATGTGAAAAAGGGTAGATTTACCTGCAAGACTTGGGAGAGGACTGATTAATGGGTGCACTAATTGACAGTAAAAGTGTTTTTTATTTCTTTTTTATTATTATTTATTTATTCCTTTGATTGTTGCACTAGGCTATTTTGTAATTATTTGCATGGAAAATTTCATCGTTGTAGCTTTTGGCAAGACTTGTTAGAATATTAATCTCTTTTCGTTGCGATTTGATCTTGTAGTTGAATCCTTGGTTCTAGCTTATAGTTGTATAACTCTATTAAGAACACACTAATTTTTTACTGCAGTTATATAGGTTCAGGCCCTAGTGTGAATGCAGTAGAGTTTTACCTGGGTTTGCACTTCTGCCCGTGGCTTTCTTGTGGCAGTTTATTCCCTACTACCTTTTCTCAAGTTATTTAATCTACTGCAAGTCAGTGATGTTGGCCTGTGTCAAATATGAGTTGAATGTGTCTGCATAAACTCCCTATTAGTCTGCTTCAGTCAAAATGAGGTTATTTAATTTAATGCATGAAAGTGGTAGATTTTTTAGTTAATTCTACCAACTCAGTGCTGCTGGCAGTTCTTGGAGTATAGTACCTTGAAAGGGTGTTAGGTGTTGCAGTGGGCAGCAGAGCACAAGTCTGCTCATATGTAGCAGTTTTGGTGTAGTAGGTAATCGTCTATTTATATGTGTATGTATATGTATTTTATCCAATAAGGTATCTGGGTTCCAGTAGAGGTTTGGTGCTCCCTACGCTGTGAATTCTGTGATATGGGTCATCCTCTCCAGATCTCATTTGTGGGTGAAAGAGGCCAACGTACCCAGCTTCATTTCACTACTCCCTCAACTTAGCAGTATTTATACTGTATAAAGTATACTTGAGTATTTCCAAGTCGAATTTTGGGTAGACTGAAATGAGAAGGCTAACTGCTGTCAAAATGGATAGTTTTGCTTCCTTTATTTATTTATTTTAGTCTAGCCCCGTACATGCATTCCTCTACTCTCTGTTTGGACAGCCTTTCTGTGGAACGGTGTATTAGTTCATGGAGGTAAACTGGTAGGAAACTTAGCTGCAGTTTGAGTTTCTGCTGTCACTTCAGAATCAGTTGTGCATCAACGCCCGTGTGGACATATGAACATTTCAGGGAAGAAGGGAGAAGCAGGATCTCTATTTAATACCAGGTAGCTCTTTGACTCTCTAAGCTGTGTTGTTAAGTCAGCCTTGTGATAAGTCTTTGGCAATTCAACTTATTTTTCACTTAGTGAGTTAGCAGTTGTAAAAGCAGCTCAACAAGCAGATGTAGGCTAAGGGAAAAATATCCAACTTTCCAGCTTATTTACTCCCTGTTTACTGTCTTTAGGGTCATGATTGTTATCACAGTACTGTTCTTACACTGTTCTTATAAAATCAGTTCTTCCATTTTTTTTTCTTTCAATTTTGTTCTTTCTGTCTTCGATATACTGTCAGACTTCCAAGCTAATTATAACAGTTCATCTGAAATGCTGGAATCACGGAGGAAGATTTGAAACTGAGAAAGTTTTAATAGATATTTTTGCTAATCAAAGAATGTAAATATAAAGGTTTTTTTTTCTTTTTTTTTTCTAATTACCAGTTGCCATTTCAAGAATATTTGGAAAAAAGATTGAAATACAAACTTCTTTTTTTTTGTAGTCGCTTTCAAGGTCTGTGTCTTCGTTTAGATATTCTACACACGTAGAGATTTCTGTTTTGGAGTTATTTGCATAGTTTAGGTAAGTCTTGTAGGTGATTCTGCCGTTTAACAACTTGAGATGATATTCTGTATAACCTTAAGATCTTGAGAATTGTTCAGTTTTTGAGAATTCATCAGTTTTTGAGCTCAACTTCTGGACAAAATGAATAAAGATTGAAGCTTTCCAAGGCAAGGCATTCTTTGCTGTTCTTATGAGATAGAGAGTTGTTATAGCTTCTAGCTTGTTTCCTATACTTAGTTTTCTTGAAGTAGTTTGGTAGATCTTTATATCCAAATGTCCAAAATGTCTATTGTCTATTACGTTCATAGTGATGGGACGGAGAAAATAATTACAATTGCCTTAATAACCTCTCTTGAAACAAAATCAAGCCTGTGTGAATCTATTTGCTTACCTACACAAATTACAAAATCAGAATTTTTATTTTCATAAACCAGCAAGTCTTGCAAGTTGCCAGTGCCTGTAGTAAAATAAAATCCTTAGTGTGATTACAGAAGTACAGCAGTAATAGTGTGGACTATCTCTGCACTATTGTGAGGAGGGAGGCTGAGGAAATACGATGTTGCTGGCAGCTCTCTAATGTAGAATTTCTCATTGAAAAGTTAGCTCATTTTAATCATAACTTTTGATACCTTTAGAAAAGGTTCCTACCTATCTGAAACAGAATAAGCCTATGTATAGTTAAAGTTAGATTTCTCTGGTTGCAGTTAATAGATGCTGTCAAAAATGGAATAAAAAAGACATCAAAGTTATTCTGAGAAGTTTGCCCAACTGTTGAATTGCTTGATATTTTTATTTTTTTGTCAGAGAAAATTAATTGTTTGAATAGTGTGAAAAAGTGTTCATAGTGCCTTATGAGGCTCTCACTTTAGAAACTTCAAATCATTTTTTTTTCTTAGGATGAATGGCTTAGTCTTTTGAACTTTCTTCAAATAAAAATCCACATAATTAAACCACTGATTCTTAAAATTTAATATTCATACAAGAAAAATGCTGTGCAAAGTAAATAAAAGAACTTTTCAGAGGAAAAATATGGCAAAATAATTATTAACAGAAAGTCTTTGTATGTCGCTAGAGTTTCCAGGACAAGTCAAACTTCAGCTCATGAAGCTAAAACACTGTGTGTTCCAATTCATCCAACATACCCAAGGAAAATAAATTACATGTAACCTGTATAAGAAGAGTACTGCTGATTCATGGTTACTATTAAATTAATTTTATCCTTGCATTCTTTCTTTCACACTCCAGTTATCAATATGAATTCAAGTCTAGGTGACAATGAGGAAATAAAAACCACTACAGTTGTATTCACCTATTGGAGCTTTTGAATCTCCTATAAGTATTTTTTTTTAATCTAATTTGAACTTGATTTTTAATACAATTTCTAAATTGTGCAGTAAACTTTATGCTAAACCTTTAAAATATGGTAATAGATGTGACAGCTATAGTAGCTGAAGTAAGCAAACACATATGTTACTTGAAAGATTTAAGTGCTCAAGTGAGGGTTTATCCAACTTACATTTTCTGTTGACTCCTAGAAGTTGTAGTTGTAGGTACCAGGATTTGAAATCGTAATTTTTGTCTTAAAGATGCTACTGTGCGTGACTGACCTCCTCTTAAAAAGAGTGTTAAGTGAAAATTAGTCATGGTTTAATATTTGTTTACATAAGATAGTAATTGAAAAATTAGTAATTGCATTTCAGTATTTATCTACATATTTCTGGCTGGAGGCAAAAGATTCCTTTTACCTCCTTGCTCTTTCTTACATAATATCTTGTTCTCGAAAGAAAATTTCTCATGATTATTGGAGCAAACGTAACTGGGTTGTGCTTCCTTCTACTTACAACTTCCTGCTACCTGTTCTCTGTGTTATTATGGGGGAAGGCATCAGAGTGGCCTTTGAGTTATTTTTGTTTTTCAGTTGTATTGGAAAACTTACTCTTTTATTTATTTATGCTTAATTATTGGGGTTCTTAAACTAATTCTGATTTTGTATGTTTAAACACAGTCTGCTTCACACATATACAAAATTATTCTACTAGTTAAAGGGTTTTTTTTTAGTAAGATTCATCTCCTTTTTACGTAGATACGATGTGCATTTAAATTTTCTTTAAAAAAAAAAACTTGCTTCACTTTTCTAAATTCAGATAGGATTTTCTGGGGAAAATGTGCTCAAAATATACTCCCAGTTTTTAAAACATGAAAAGAAATTGATAATATGCAAGTGCCGTATAAGGCAAGGAGAATCAAAATATCTTTTATAAATAATATCGTATCATTTCTGAAAGAAATTAAAAACTAATAGACTGTTGCACTCTGAGGAAGCCATGAGAGTTTACTGAGAGATATTTTAATTGAAACTGCAAATTGGAAATGTTGGATCATGAGAACAAACAACGACTTGAGTAATGGTGGAAGCAGTAAAATGAAATTGAAATGAAGCCAAAGGACTTCTGCAGGTGTGAAAATAAAAGAATTGTGGAGAAAGAAGCTAATTGCAATTAACGTGACTACAGGGAGAGAAATGTATTCCAGAGGGAGCTGCATATTTTAGTCCTGGCATGTGCGTTTGATTGACTCTCCCCCAGTCTCTGCATAGTTATAATTAATGATTATCTTTCTATAGTGAAGAAGCACTGAGGTGGTTATACTTTCAGATCTAAATCTTCTCAAGCATGTTTGCTGACAGATTAGGAAATGACTTTAATGGCTTTTGGCATCTAAATATCACAACTTTGTGTGTTTATTATAAAGGAACTTGTAGGGAAGAATAATAAAGACAAAAGAATTATTTAAGCAATGATAATAGGCTATATACATTCTCAGAAATATGAAACTCAAATACCATTGATAAACTTTGGTAGTGTGTTTCAAGATCTAAAAGAAGGCTTTTAAATCCAGATTTATCAGTACTTTAAATTTTGTTTTAAATGCCCTTTTTGTCATATTGTTAATAATACTTCAGAACATTCAGACCATTTCAAATACAGTTTTCAAAACTCTGTAAGATTAAGTTTTAATTTGAATAGGCTTTGCTTGTAGCTTAAATCCAACATTACAAATGAAGAGAGCATAAAAAGAAAAAGAAAATAAAGGCAGGGGAAAAATTTTGCAGATGACTTGCACACCTGAAATTTACTTTCTTTGCAATTTTGCCATTATCTCATGGGAATGGGTAGTATAAAATGTAAAGCTGTATTGTATAGCTATTGTGTACTGTGTTCTCCCTCTCTACAATCAGATGTAGTCTGTTGTATGATTTATAGGTAGTCTTTTTTTTAATCAGCTGAAACCTCCTTGACTCTATTCAGTCAGGTTTTTTACCATGATAGTAAAGATGGACATGGAAGCTGCATATATGGTCCTGTATACCTTGTTGGAAAGGAGTAGTGTGTTGAATACTGAATATGTGTATATAATTATGCCTGCATATATGTGCACCTTTGTATGTGGATGAGTCAGATAATTAGAGATTGCTGTAATAGGAACATTTAAAAAACTGAGAAATCAGGCCAGTTTCCAACTACAGAGCAACACTTTTATCTGCTGGACATGTTAATGAATGTCAATTCCTAATTATTATCAATACCTGCTCCAGCAGTCATTAACAAACTTATCCCAGATGAGTTGTGACTATTCAGTACCATAGACCAGCTGCTGTGCAGTTGCTTTTGATGGCTGTGGTCCTTGGTGGTCTCGGTCACTACAGTCAAGATAAATTGGGCTTGATTTGATAAGGGAAACTGCAGTGGAGTGGGGTGTCTTTTCCTTAATTTTTTCCCCCTTCATTGTTAGCATCTCTTGCCTCTCTCTCCCCCAAAGAAAGGGGATGATCTCGTCTGCTCCTAACGTCATTCATGGCATTTATGAGACCTCCTGTGTTCTGACTTTGCGCTCTTGCAGTGCAAGCCTGGCCTGTCTGCTAGGTCTTGCACGTTCTGCAGGTTCCATCAGATATCTCTTCTGCTGGTTCTGCAGGATAGTTTTGGTTTTGCCACTCATCTTTCCTTCCTGCTCTGCATCTTTAGTTCTTGGTACCTTGCAGATTTTGCTGTTTGTGCGTGTTGTCCTGTCCTGGTTGATGCAGCTGTACCACAAGTTTGTTTTGCCCTTTGAAGTTAGTTATTTTTATACATCTATGCTTAGCTGTGTTGCAAAATTCTTGTTGCTAGTTATGTTATTAGTGATGTTGCAACAACACAAAATACTTGGGTACTGTTGCCGGTTTGTGCTATTTTAGTGTATTTCAGGGGATTTAAGACAAGCTAATATTAAATGGTTTGGTGTATGTGTGCAGCAGGTCTCTCCTTTAGTTACATGGTAACAAATCTCATCTCTCACTAGATGCAGACCCTGTGTGTGAGATCATGTTGCTTTTGAAAAGATTCCAATGCTCTATATTTGTGAATATTACAAATAAATTTGATTTGCATGTACTTAGAGTGACTTCAAATATTTATAATCAATGGGATGCCTAGCCCCCAGAGTGGGATCCTGTTCCTTCAGTTAGCACAAGAGGGATGTTTGCCTTTGCCTATACCCCATTGAGAGAAAAGAAGAATGGGCAGTGATCCAGCTGCAGAGTGCAGATAAGACAGGTAAAAGCAAAAGGGTAAAATAGAGAGAAAATATATATATAACTGTATGCAAGAAGCTTGCAGAGCTGAGTTTTTCTTGGTCCTTAAAGCACAATGGCAAAGTGGAGACAGATGTTAGGTTATGTTTGATAACCAAATATGGTTCTTTAAACTGCTGGGGCTGGTGCAGAATAGGAATAGGAATCTAGGTATGACAACAACATTGAGTATATGTGTCAAATCTTACCTGAGGTAAGATAAAGTGTGCAAGTTGCAAGCTGCTGCAGTGGGACTGTTTCAGGCATTATGGTTGAAATATTTAAAGCAAGATCAGTTGCTCTGATCACTTCTGTATAAGTGCTGGAGAGCTATCTGCATGTTGCAATTTTGCAGTCAGGTGAACTGAGCATAAGATGGTGTTTCTGGTGAGTAAACAATCCTGGCTTCATTCTGCCTGCTCACCTGCTCTGATACCTGAACTCTGTTCTGCTTGGACTCGCTCCCCCGTCGAGCTCATCGCGCAGCTCTGTGAAAGGTCCTGCCTGCCTGGGCTGCCAGAACTCGTAGCAGAAAGGCAGGGGCTGCTTTCCTGGAGTGAATTTGATGTACAGGTATGGAGCAAAGCTATCATGGTGCAGGTCAGCTGCATTAAGCTGACACTTTGTATGTGAACTGTATGTCCACAGATGGCTGATAATATGGGAATGATTTAAATGCACTAAAGGCATGTTTGCTAGAGCCTGGACTGACTAGGTGTTTAAATTTCATTTATTTATTTAATTTTATCGTTGTGACTGCAGTGTACAATGGAAGGGCAGCTTTTACTTTAGCAATTAGTCCTTAGCAGCTCAAATGCTCTGTCACTCTGATAAATGTACAATTAAGTCCCTTTTAAGGGGAGATATTGACATAGTTATGTAAATTTGTAATTATCTAATTATTACTGTAAGAATTTACACTCAAATCTTCTATTATATCCTGATCTCTTTAGAGAGAAGATTGCAGTAATGCAACAATAACTGAATAGCTGTTTATTAAACCTTTGAAAACTGGACTTCAAAGTAGACCGTATAAGATTTTCTAGGTATGGGAATATTACTGTTCACTTCGACATTCACATGTTTTTGTAGTTTGTTTCCTTAGCTGGTAACTGTAAATCTGATGATATACTGATGATATACTATGGTAGTTGACAATAGCAATAATACTTTAATTCTACAAACTTTATAGTGACAAGTGTCCATGTGTTTTATAGATTTTCCCACACCTCTGCAAGAGCTATGTAGGTTCTATAGAAGTTTCATTGCTCTTGAAGTCTATTGTATTTTTTCATACTTCAGACAAGAAATATATTTAAGCAATAAATGCTATAACAAAGAAAAAGATTTTAGAATGTTCAGATAATTAGTGTTTCTCATATTAAAGTATATATTAAATTATAAATTATATATAAAAATAGAAAACTAAGAATAACTTAATAGACACCTTATAGGGATGTTAGTGGCTTTTCTTTTTTATTTTTTCTTTTATAAACCAGTGTTTTGGCTCCCACTTCTTGCTCTAGTGAACTCCTCTGAGTTTTACATGAATTTTAGTGTTGGAAAAGCATTTCAAGATGCAGGGCTAAGATTATGACATTAACATGACAATGAAATGTCCGCTTGCATGGAAAATGTGTTATAGTAATTTCTTTTCCTCTTTATAAAGACCGAGCATTGGTGTATGTAGTAGGTGTGGATAGAATAAGAATTACAGCCCTCCGTTTGTTTGCTGCATTTGGACAGGGATTATTAGATGCAGCTGACTATGGGGATGCATTGGGATTGCTACTAGTTACTAAAGCAGTACTATTATTCCTCCTCATGTCATGTATTTTCAGTATTTAGTCTTCAAACTGAGACATGTTTTTTTCATAAATAAGATTCCCTCCAGAGTTAGAATTTCCTAACTCTTTAGCGTAAAAATTCCTATAGTATGTGATTTCCATCTGTCTCTAATGGCAGATGTATGCTCCTAATCTACTCCTGATATGTATAGAAAAGGGGTAATTCAGATATTTCAGGAACTTCATTTTTACATTTTGATCACCTTCTACCAAAAGTCTTGACTAGTTCTAATCTTGTGTTAAAAGCTATTTTTTCTTTCTAATGGAGGCAGATGAGTATGTCTGTCTAACGTTATGCATTCATTTCTCCAACTACTGTAAAGAGAGGAAAAAAAAAGTTGTAAACAAGTAAATATTCGATTTTATTCTTATGCCGCTGCCTTTTGAGGGGATCCAGTTAGAGCTGCTCAGAACAAGTTAGTGATTCTTTTCACACCGTGGAAGGCTTCAGAAGGATATTCTGGTAATGAGTAAAAAGGAGCTAATGCCATGCTAACAGCAGCACGCGCATTCAGATCAACATGGCATTGACTCCATGCAACAGCAATTTTCCTCTAGGCAGCTATTTACTGTCTTCAACATTTACATAGATAACACGATAAAAATCTCCACGGGAAACTCAAGAAAATGAGAAATGTTGCTGTGAGACTTTGTAATTGAGAATTTTTATGAAGTGATTTTTTTTCTTAGATATTGATACATATACACATTTGCCTGCTGCTTTTCCCCGTTCTCTTGTTATTTAATCTTTATATTACTGTCTGTTCGGATTTAAGTCATGGGAAAAAAAAATTGGTGATCTAAAACTGCAATTTGCAATTCTGTTTTCCAACACAATTCTTACATTAGATGAAGTATTATTTCAATTTACTTTTTAGATAGTTATTTCTGCTTCTTCTGTTGTTTGTCCCGAAACCCTTTCCAGTCTTTCTTTTTTAATATATCCAGTGTGTTTATTTCTTCCTACAAGTAAGCAAAAAGAAAATCCATGTAACAATCAGTTTGATTTTTTTTTTCCTTAAAATTGCATGAAAAAAGCACTTTGCAGTATGTCTCTAAAGAAATAAAAGATAAATGTGAACCGTGGGATTTTGCATGTCATTATGCCAATCAGACATTCCTTATTTTGAAGAAATTTTCTTTAAAATGAATGTTCACTGTTCCTTTCAGTTACAGTGTGGAAAAAGGATGTCTGAAATAATTATAATCAATTTTGAAATTCCTCAAAAAATGCTGTGAATTAGGCTATATGGATGCAGCAGAAACTATTGCAGATCATGAGTGCTTATTTGCTTTGTAGCTTTAATGAGGCTTTGTCATCTTTAAGCTTAGTATATGGGTGACATCCAAGGTGTAGCTCTGTGTGAATCCACAATATCTTAATCAAGAAGTACTGTTTAAATTGTATATATTCTAGCATATAGAAAAATTACGCTTCATAGCAGATGCAATGGAAAATAGATTTTGATATACCTTTCTGTAGCTGCATTTTACTCTGAAATGTTTCAAAGTATAGTTTCTAAGCTAAGTTTGAGGCAATTGTCTTTCACAAAGTAGATACTGTTAGTGTCTAACCAGAATATACTGTGTTACCTTGCACGTTAGGTGTCTCTTTTTGTATTTCAAAACTTCAAATTCTGATGTTAGAATAGACCCTCTTACTATAGATGTCTGTGAAGCACAATAGAAATGACGATTGGGCTACAAGTAATGTCTATATTTAAAGAAAATATCATTTTTTTGAACACTTTTTGGTTAAGATGCTTATGAAAAAAGCTAGAAATCAATCAATGTGTGTTACAGAAAAGCACAATGTTCTTGGACATCTTTGCCAAACAGGCTTGTGACAACAGAAAAAGTGAATAAGAACTTCCTAAAAGCGGTCTTTTTGTTTCCATATGGATACGTATGAAAGTCTGTGCCATTATAGTTAGGGACTTTCTTTTACTGTTTTGTATATATATGTATATATACTTGTATATATACATACATATATATCTATATATATAACAGTAAAAGTAAAAAGAATTAGGTGGTTTTCTTGAATGCTGTATGTTTTATGTTTTACAAGATCATCCAAAGTAGAGCAAAAACAACTCGATAATACAAATTCCACATTATTTCTCAAGCTGCCTTTCTTTTCTCTCATTCTGTCGTTTTTGTTTGCTGCAGGTAGTTTGACATTCACAGAGTGAGAGGTCTTTTCACAGGCACTCAGCCTTATGGCAGCTAATTTTGGCTTTCTGCAGTTTAGTGGTCTGCGTTCTGAAGTAGTGCCTGTAAGCTCGGGTGATACCAATATCCAGCAGCTCTCCTCGTTTACTGCCAGTGTGCCCAAAGAGTGGTGCTTTCAAGGGCAATAATGCTCAGTGTTTCTTGCATTCTACATAAATAAGAGGAATACTGATTCATATATTTTACTTCAGGCACTGCAAGACAGAAAGAGAACGTGCCATTTCTTTTTTGCTTTATCTTTTCCCTTAGTCTTTTTGATTTGATTTTCTCATCATCCTGTTATTGCCAAGTATATTTTAGAATGAAAATTAAATTAAAAATATTAAACTATTTTTTCCACTGTAGAACCGGTATATAAATGTGCAATAAATATGGTATAATTTATAAAAACTTAATATGAGAAAAGATTGGAAACACCAAATATTTTTGTTCCTGCTGGATGGATGCATTTTGTTGTTGTTGTCTGTTTTTCTCTTCTAAATTAATGAGAATATTCATCCTTAGTTTTCATTTTTCAACTGTTATTTTCAACTATTATTATTCAGCTAAGGCTACATTGCTGTGTTTTTTACATGGCAGATCTAATTGGAGTTAGATGCTTAGTGACAGTTTTGCAACGGTTCACATGAAGCCTCTTCTCCTCTTAAATAGATTTAAAAAAATAGTATTTTATGCTAAATCCAGTCATTTTCACTACTTTCGAGTAAGTCGCTGGAAAACTCCCGTATATCTTGTTGTTATACTGGAGTCACTAAAGAAAGTTTTGATGTTGATGACAAATAACTGCCTCTCCTGGACGTGGAAGGAGCTTTCTCCGTGGCTCATGTTCTTCCCAGAGACCTGCAGAATTTTCCTGGGTGCGATGCAGACACAGTCATGTTGTGCAGATTGTTCATATGGAGATCGAGACCTTTTACAGAGCTTCTTATAATCCTTTCAGGTGTGAAATGTCTAGAATGAAGTAATTTATTATATACTAATTCTGATTAACCAGACATGGCATGAGATTTTCACACTCTGCAACAAATTAAGCATTCATTAACACTTAATGTCGTTAAATGACACAGTTGAACAATAAATGATTCATTTAATTCCTCTTACAGGAAATGTGTGTTAAAGTTACTGACTAGAAGATGACTGAAAATTGTTTTTATTCTCAGTTATTTTCCTCATCTTTTATTTATTGTGACTCTTCATTGACTTGTCTTTCTCTCACTTTTTCTGAAACAGAAGACGATGAAGTGGAAAATTTTGATGTTTCCAGTCTGCCTGAAGAAGTGCTGCAGAACATAGAAGCTGACAGTTATTGGTGCATGAGCAAGTTGCTTGATGGCATTCAGGTAAATGCATTTTTTTTCTTGCCTTTAATTACTGGAGATAACTAATTAATGTCAAAGCCTTGAATTACTTTAACAGTGCTGAAACACAGTACCCCTATGAAAAATAGAGGAGAAGTCGATTTTTTTTCTGCCTCATTATGGGCTCCTAAGCATCTGTGCATGTGTCCCATCATTCTGGTTTCAGACCAGAAAATTTACTCATTTGAAATCTCTATAAATCGTGGGTTTTTTTGTTTTTAATATAAATTTATATATCTGCTGTGTCAATTAACCTTGTATTCTGTAGTTATATATGATGTTTTATAGCAGTCAGTTCTGGATGATTATACACTATACTGGTTTTCTTCCTCAGTGCTTCAAGAGCATGTACAGCTAGAGGAAAAACTTTTGTTCCAGAAACATTAAACCTCACTTAAGCTTTTCTTCCTTATTTCAGAAAAACACAAAAAAAACCCTTCTAAAATCATAAGATCAAAGGATAATTCAAGTTGGGAGGGACCTCTGGAGGTCATCTACTCCAGCCTCCTCCTCAAAGCAAGCGCAGCTATGAATTCACTTCAGACTGTTCAGGGCTTTATTCAGTCAGGTTTTGGAAGTCTCCAAGACTGAAGAGTGCAAAATCTCTGTAGGCAACTTGTTCCAATGCCTGACTCTCCTAGCAACGAAAAAGCTGCTGCTTATACTAAGACAGAACCTCTTGTTTCAATGTGTTGTCCCTTATCCTCTCGCCATGCACCACTGCTAAAAGCCTGTCTCTGTCATCTTGGTGACGTGGGGGTGTTCTGTGGGGTCCCTTTGAAGACTTTACTTCTTCGGGCTGAATGTCCCCAGTTTCCTCAGCCTCTCTGCAGCCCTTGAGATCTTAATAACTCTTCGCCCTTGCTCCAATTTATTGATATATTTATTATAGCAGGAAGCCCAAACTATTCTAGATGTGGTTTTCAAATAGAAGCAACTCTGTTTAAACGTAAGAAACGTTTTTATTTATTTATTTGTTTTTTAAGTGCAAGGGTGTTCAAGCAGTGGAATAGGTTGTGCAGAGGGGCTGCGGAGTCTCTGTTCTGGGAGACTTGCCAAACCAGACTGGACACCAGCAACCTGCTGCAGCTGACCCTGCTTTGAGCAGGGGGGTGGCTCGGGCGATCTCCAGAGGAGCTGCTAAACCTCAGTGATGCTGTGAATCTGTAACACGTGTGGAGAGGGGGGTAACCTCTTCCCTTGGTCTGCTGCTGCAGGAGGCAGTTGGCTGCCTTTGCTGCCAGGGCACGCTGCTGGCTTGTGTTTGACTTGCCCTCTACCAAGGCCCCCAGGTCCTCTTCAGCCAAACTGCTCTCTAGTTCGGGTCCAGCCTCTACAGATGCAAAATGCTCTAATGGAGATTTGTAAAATCTGTTTCCAAAAGTGTGTTGTAACCACATACCATAGTGTGTCTAAATATCACTTGTTTTTGGTGGTTTTCAACACATTACTTCACAGTTTCACATCTGTAATCTATGTAACAGTATTTTAATATATTCATATATCAAGAATAAGGTGATTCTGGTTTTGTACTTGGTTTATTACCAAAATTGCGTCATCTTGCCTTTTCAATTCAAACACTCAAAAGATAAACTCTTTCAGAGGTCAATCCATCATGCTTCTTCAGAACAGTTCAGAACTGCAGATGATGTATTTATACTATTGCATTTTTTTTACCCAGAAAAATACGGGCTGTGAGCAAGAGAAGAATAGAACTTATCCCACCAGTGTTGTTTTTTTCTCCAGTTAGTTAAGTAGACATTCCCGTACATCTATCTTAATTTTTTTATTACTTAATCATCCTTTATAACAATTTCCTCAACTGGGTTCCATTAACATTCAAATAAAAAGTTCACGCTGATCTGTGCCTCCTACAAACGTAACATTCAAACATAAAATTGAGTATAAGTTTTCATTTTAAGTTCACTTGTAATGGTAATAAAATAACCAAAAGGGAAAACATATGCATTTTGTAATGGTCTAACCACATGTGTTAAAAATAGCAATATCATTATTATTTATATCATTAATATCATTATTTATCAGGACCTGGGAATTTTTAGAATAAAAGGGAGATAGTTCATTTTTGAGGATTGAACTGAGATGTATATTAGCTATTTCTATGGCTGAGGAAATAGCAGAATTTAGGGGTTACAAAGACAATCCAGTAGAGTTCTCTCTCCCTGCTTAGTTATGAAAAGTTTTTGCTATCATGTGCCTTGAATGTGAATTGTAAGTGGAAGAATGGAATGACTACGTTCTGTTTGGAAAATCTTTCAAAGGTCCATAGTTTTCTTTTAGGAAAAACAGTGCTGCTTTCTTTGTAACTTTTTCTTGTTAGTCTCTTGCAAGTTTCTTGGTTATGTCTGCATTTCGTCGAGGTAGATAGGCTAAGTTCTGCTAGCCTGGGTTATGATAAATGACAGATTTGTTTTGTAGAAATAAGGCTTCCCTAACCAAGAAGACAGACCTGTGTAAGTGGTATGGGCTGTGAGTCCCTGAGTCTGTCTGATCGTGCGAGCTTGTGCGCATTGAGTGTTTGTGCCTTCACGCCCAGCTCGTGTTCCTGTATCACAGGGACTGCAGAGTCCCCCTGCGTGGGTGCAGGGCTAGCTGGGCTAGTATTCCTAGCATGTACCAGCCCAGTCCTTGTGCACTGCCTACAGAAATGGGTAAAACACCCTTTCCTCCCACCTTCCTCAGGTAAATAGAGTTTGAAGAATGTCCTGTGTTGTAGGAAACTGTGGACATGAGATATTACTGATAAGTCAGTCTCCAGAGAAAAGTATTCAGGGTCCTCCCTGACAGTAGCTGATACTGAAAGAGTATGCGGCGGTCCCGCTCCTCTTGCTGCATAAACAGATGCTAATGCCAGCGAGGTTTGGAAATTCAGAGACCCTGTCAGGATTGCTGAGCAGTACTAGCATTCAGTTATCTAATTAGTTCTGTAATATTTGAGTTATATACTCATGCTAAGTGACAGCTCGTGGCCACTGTCACTGTAGTTGCAAGTGAGATGCCAGTTCTTGGATAATTCCCCTTTACTAATTTCTGGAAACGCAAACTGTTCTCTCTGTCAGCATCCTGCCCAAGTTGCATCCTGGGAATGACAAATAAGATCTTTTCTTTTTTTCTGTAAGCTGCAGCTACACTATGGAAAATAAAAGCTTCAGAAGTGGTTTGTTTGATTAGAAATTGTTTGATCAGCCCTGGTGAGGCCGCATCTGGAGTATTGTGTCCAGTTCTAGGCTCCACAGTACGAGAGGGATGTGGAGCTGCTGGAGAGAGTCCAGCGCAGGGCTACAAGGATGATCAGGGGCCTGGAACATCTGCCCTATGAGGAGAGGCTGAGGGGGCTGGGCCTGTTCAGCCTGGAGAAGAGAAGGCTGAGAGGGGATCTAATCAGTGTCTATAAGTACCTCAAGGGAGGGAGTGCAGAGGACGGGGATGGTCTCTTTTCACTGGTGGCCACTGATAGGACTAGAGGAAATGGCCGGAAACTGAAACACCAAACATTCCATAGGAACTTAAGGAAAAATTTCTTAACAGTGAGGGTGACAGAGCACTGGAACAGGCTGCCCAGAGAGGTTGTGGAGTCTCCTTCTCTGGAGATCTTCAAAACCCGCTTGGACGCAGTCCTGTGCCATGTGCTCTAGGTGTCCCTGCGTATGCAGGAGGGTTGGACTAGATGATCTCTAGAGGTCCCTTCCAACCCTAAGCATTCTATGATTCTATGAAATATCTTTTAAAATGCTTATAAAAGCAACATTTGTGTATCTTAGAATGGAAATGCAACTTGTGTTGTAGTAATCTGATGGATGTTATTAGGTGTAATGGTAGAGATGACTGCTGATGAGTGCTCTCTGCTCTCTCCTCCCAAAGGGAGCTTATTATGGAGCAACTCATTCTATTCTCATGTATATACAATAGCCAGGGTTTACTCTTACTCTTTTCAATATCAATGGTTCCATAAAGGTGCTTCTGGTTTTTAATTAATTCTAATTTTAATCTTTTATGTTTTTGTTACTTCAATTATAATTACATTTTAAATTCTAATTTTGTTTATATTTTTATAATTTTCTATTCTTTTCTTTGTTATTTATTTTTCCAATTTGTTAACCAGCAAGTTGTACCCATTCTTGAAGCTGTACTGTTGGAGCTCTGTAAAGACTGAGGAAAAGAAAATGCATTTTATTGAACATTATTACCGTGTTAGGAAGTTAATTCACCGACTCTGGCAGTAGAATCACTGCGACTACAAAGGATTAAAAGGCAATTAACATAATCATTGTGTTAGTCCTGTTGTTTTGATGTAACATTGGTTAAAACATGTCTGGTATTGTCTGTTCAAAACTTAGAAAAATTTAGATGTGAAAAAGTGTGGACTGTGGACCATCAGTTTGTGATCAGAGTAGATTTAACTTGAGCAGTCAAGATCTTTATTTTGGATGTTGGTGACAAAATAGTACATTATTTCAGCGTAGCTCCTGAAGCTCTTGATGCAACAAAGACTGAGAATTAACAATGTCATCATCTTAGATTTTTGAGACAAGTGATCCTTCAAACTTGTCATCACCGAGACTGTCATTAACAATGAACCCAGAATATAGCACCAGAATCTACTTTGCAAAGTGTAAATAGTGCTTTGAGCCTGAAGCACTGCAGTTCAATTCAGCATTTGTGAAGCCACTGAGCTTTTTAGGAGGAGGAAGCCTCGACAAGAAGCTTCACAAGAAAATTATTGGTCTTGGCACCAGCTCCAGAGAAGGAGAGATCTTTTAGGACCCTCTTGAAATTCCTAAGTGCCAGCAGAGGATCCATATTCTGCCCCTTCAATCTGAGAGAATCAAATGCATCACCAAGATACTGTCAATCAGCATCTCCCATAAGAATTTCAAGTGCAGTAGTTAACTCTACTCAGTTTAAAATATATTGGTGCTGGTCTACCGTGAAGATCTTTACTAATGGCTATAGTCTTAGGA